TTGAAGTCATTATTTAAGTAAAAGATTTGAGCAGAAATTAGAAATTAAATATATGGAACGTATTTTTTTATAATATAAAAATGGCGTTTGTTTTATTCCGATATGGCACTGTATGTATCTTTAAATAATATAGAAGTCAAGAGAGAAATATAAAAGTACAAGAGCCTGATCTTTGTTCTCGGCCAAGATCTCTCTAATCCGATCCTTAATGACGTTCTCGTGAGACTCGATGAATCTGTTTGGTCCGCTGACAAGCATCGCCAACGACTCCAAGAGGTGTCGCAACTCGGCTTGCACCCGCTGATACTTCTCGTCCCGTTGCATTAGATCTTCTGCAGAAAAAGAAGAAGAAGAAGAAGAAGAAGAGGAATAAGAGAAAGAAGAAAAAAGGACGAAGACAAGGCGAGAAATAATATTCGCCGAACGGATCACCTCGCAGCTGTCCAATCAACGCTTCTTGATTCGATATGTTTCCAGTCGCGCTGCTGATGCTCCTGTTCGCGTTTAACAGCTTATCCCTCAGCTCGTTTAGCTCTCTTTCTGCCACCCTGTACCGCATTTCGACGCATTCTTTGTCCTGGCGAAACGAACGATCGAAATAACAATAAAAATTGATCGCTCGAACAAGTTCATATCAGTCTATGTTAGTGCAGCTCAAAATAAGCTAAGCTTTGAATTTCCAGCTTGGAACTGAGCTTTCCAACTTTTAGATATTGAATCTTAAGCGTTCACCTTCAATCCTTAAACTCGGGGACTCGAGTTGTTTAAGTTATAATACAATGATGATTATAAAATTATCGGGAAAAAATTTTAAAAGCTTTGAGAACTATGTAAGCTTGAAGCTTCGGTGTGTCTTGGGCTTCGTATGATATTAGTCTTAAGAAATTCAACTTTCAGTTGAGTTCTTGTAGCTCGTAAGAGTCAAGTTTTGAAACATCACTGATCTATAGTTTTGAACAACACGTGAAGTGTTTCTTTTCTTCTATTTTACATTGTCTTCTGACGGAATATTTGCAACCCGTGTATATTAAAAAAGACTGAAGAACTATGTTATATCCAGTTTCGATCAGAATACAACACAAACTCTTATTCGAAGTCACCAGATCGCGATTTTCAATTTGTATTGAAATGCATGTTTATAAACGACAATTAGTAATTAATTAATCATCTGTTTTCTTAATACACGTGCAATAAAGAGCTGCAATAACTGAACTGTTCACGATGAAAAATTTATTATTTTGCTTTTTTATCGAGATACGAAGATCACCTTCAGCTTTTTAAATAAAATTCACTGTAATGGTACCGACAGTTCTTTTGCGAAAACTAGATCCAACTGCCAATTATAGAAACACGGAGGAAAGTTCAGAAACATTGATTTTTGCAACATACTAAAAAACTGTCGAAATCGGGGAGTAACTTATCTACAAGTTCTTATTTTTTTTAAATTTTATATTCTTTGCAATATTTATATATCTCCCCCTGTTTTCTTGTATCCAAAGAATAATACTCGTCGGAAATAAATAAATAATTGTATTTATACCATTGTAAATAAGTGGATACCTGTCTGAGACGATCCAGATCGATCAACTGCGAGGACACTTGCCGCTGGAGTTGCTCCTTCTCGGCTACAACACGGTCCAAAGCATCTCGACAGCTTCTGAAGTCGACCTCGACGGTTGTCAGTTGCGCCTCGACGTTCGTATTCTTCGTGCGGACGCGATTCGCCTCTTGCACCAGCTCCTCGACTTTGTGGATCACGATCTCAGGACTAGGATGAACGGTTTCGCGATACTCGACGCTCAGAGCGTTCGCCAGTTTCCGCGTGAACTCCTTTATTGAACGAGCACGTGGAGAATTTAAATAACAAAGATCGGCCAAAGGTGAAAGAAGTTCGTGTTTGTAGTTGGAAGTCGAAGGCTAAAACCTGAAAACTCGTACGAGCCCGCTCTCTCGATTCGACCTCCTCCGACACGGTCTGCTCGAGCTGGCGTATCTTCTTCTCGTATTCCCGAGTTTTCTCCTGGTGATACTTCAAATCTCGTTGCAGGCCGTGCAGCACGCTCTCGTTTCTTCCTTGAGTGGCGTAAAGATTCCTCTCGCGTTCTTCCAGTTCCTGAAAATCGGGTCGGTGCGATCAAGCACTTCGTTCGATAGTCATTTTACAAAGCTGCGTATTTACTTGTGTAAACGGAATCGAACGGCGCGAGAACACGTTTAGCTGAATGAAATTTGAATTGAAGTAGAAATAGATAATGTGATGTAATAATTATAATGATGTAACATATTGTTATTTAACACTAATTATATTAAATTTGATAATTTAATTAATTATAATTAAATTTAATCAATAACTAGCATCGTTGGACATTCGAAACTATAAGAATTTATATTTATACATTACTTAATTTTGAAATTTTTTTCGATTTAATTTCGTTAAATTCATTTCATTGATTTAATCATAGAATAAAATGAGTGAAACATAAAATAAGTATATAAAATGTAGAAATATCAAATATAAAATAAAATCAAATAATTTAAACTTGTAGTACACATCACTATAATCATCGATTCCGCTTGAGGTTTAACTGATTTGTTCAAATACGGAAGACGTTACTGTATTATGAGCAAAAGAAAGTATTGTAACCTGTATGCGTTCTTTTAAGCTTAAAACAATGGCATTCTGTCTGGCTGCTTGTTCAAGAAGTTGTTCAGCCTCTATCTGCAACTCCACTATTCGTTGATCCCGAGACCTCACAAGATTCTTTGTCTCTTGAAGCTGGACACCATAATGCCACCGATTATTATTAATCGAATCACATTAGTAGATTGCGAATTTTTATTTGTATTTATAGAAAGCGCGAGAATTTTAAGAAAATTTCATTGAATGCGCGTAATATAGAAAAGTGTATAATTTTAATTTAAAATCTATATATAATGTTAAAACTATATACAGTTCTATAAAATAAATAGCATATAGATAGTATAATACAATATATATGGTATGTAGATAGTACGATACATATGTATATAAAATATATATATAGTTGTATTTTCTATTCTCCGAGTTCATCTTTTCCCAAAGATACATTTTTATGTCACGTAACAGATCATGAAAGCAGGGATCAAACTGTAAAAATTTAAATAACTTTGAAAAACATCGAAGAAACTTCTCCGTGGGAAAAAATATGAATTTGCATAAAAATCTGCAGTCTGCGCAATTAGGTTTACCTCGGACATCAATCTGTCGCGTTTATACTCGAGAGCCGCCAGCTCGCTTCTTAACGCAGTTGTTAGATCATGGGTCATGGCTCCTTCGTGAACAATCTACAATAAGAAGCCTAAATGTCACCTGATTATATTAAACATATCCATTAGATGGCACCATTCTTTTAATTACGCTCGTAAAGATATTAATTTACATGAACGGCAATCTAGTGATCAATCTTCAAATATTATCAGTCAAGTTATCGATCATGATTGTCATCAATCAAAGTTGTGAAAAACATAATTTGATAAAGGATCGATCAATCACCTGAATATAATTCATCATCAATTAATGAATGGAAGATCATAATTACATTTTTGACAATGCTTCATTCAGTATTTTGTTTGCAACGACCTTTTTTTTAAAAATATCCTCGTTTATGATGGAAATGCTTTTGTTATGAAATTATTTACCAAGTCACATATTTATTATATTTATTAGATATGCAATTTTATATTTTTATGAGGGTAATCAGAAAAGTGGAATCTATTAAAAAAACTAGTAAAAAATATAAAGGAAATTTCATGTCGAATATTTCATATATTTTCCTATATTACTTTCATCATATATATTTTGGTATTTAGAAATAAAATAAATAAAATAAATGAAAATGTACTAATCCATTACTAAAGCTTGATACTAATCGATTAGGATATTCATAAACTATAGTCTTCGTTAAAAATGCATTTAAATAAATTAATTTTTACTTAATAAAAATTCTTTTATTTAAAATATATGACTGATATTCTAAAATAGAAGATTCTTTGATTTTTTTATTTGGAATGCAAGAAATCTTTATAACTCGAAACCCTTACAGATAAGAATCGTTGGAAATCACAACGATTAGATTGTCACGTGAACGATTAGATAATTTGCAGATATTCGTCAGATACTTCACTATGTGATAAAGATGAGTCGATATATCTCGCGTTTATGATGTAATTATACAAAAAGTAATTTAACACATGTTTGATTACATTCTGAAGTAGTCAATTATAGAAGTGGAAAAATTACAGATAGGTTATTTATCATAATGACTAATTAATACGTAAGTCTCCTTCAATTCTATCAAAAACTGAACTGAAAAAATAAAGGATCCAATTGATTAATGATTACAGTAATTGTAATTACATTCAGTAATCTATTACAGAAATCATTACGAAATTACTCTTCAACTCTGTCATGAACTAGGAAAAATTTGTGGAAATAGTTTTGATTATTTTTAGATTATCGTTTCTTGTGCATTCGTGGGTAATTTAAGAATGAAAAAAAGTAGAGGAGATAAAAATATATAAAAGCAGCCCAATTGTTATTAAATTAAATTATAATATAATATTATATAATATTATATATTAAATTAAATTATAATATAATATTATTAAATTAAATTATAATTATAATATTATTAATATTATTAAATTATAATATTTAATAATGGAAATAAACTTCGACATAGACTCTATATATTTCTTCAACACTAGAATAGTCAGCATTAAATATCCGCATCTGTCAAATGACTTAAATTAAATATATCTTAAATACTTTAAATATCCGGATATAAAATTGTTTATTATTTTTACTAGTATTTTTATTTATTTTTAATTCCTTTAATATCTGATTAATTAATGAAAGAAACTTTCAATAACAACTTTCACTAACACAACAGATACTTTATCGCGTGAACTTCAGATAACAAATGCAATTTTCTAAATTGTTATCGAAATCTCAAAGTAAACCTCCAGTTTACCTTCTTTGAAAAACTGATGCAGTGACGAGACGAGGTACGAATATAAGAAGCGTAAGGTAAAAACTAAACTTCAAAAAACATAATGGAATTCCTAGAAGATTTTATATTACATTTGATATTACAGGAGCTAAAAGATTTATTTTTATAAATAAATAAAAAAAAAGCAAGAATCCAAATTCTGTATGTATCTGATAGTTATTTTAAAAAAATCTACAAATCTGTAAATTCTAATAAATTTTTGAAACGAACGATGTATATTTCAGAGAGAAACAGTATTTTCTTCTTTAACGACAGTAGAACAAAATTTGGCCACTTCCTATTTCCTCAACATTCTATATATGCTATTTTATTTTCCATTGATTACTTTTATTTCAGAGTTCCAAACATAGCACGTCCAGATCCATCGAAATCCATCAATATGACTGACTTAATTATTTCGTAGATTATTTCATTCATAAAAAATATACAACAATATAAGTTCATCTATCAGGATTTCACCTATTTCATCGACACTATTCATATATTCATCTTTTTATTTGAACAAAAGCCAACATAGCCTAACGTAACATTCTTGTAATTTGAAACAAGAGATCTGAGATCCGTCATGTTGACGGGTATGATTGTCCTGGTATTAATTACGTTAACAAAAATATGAAAGTCCGCAGCCAATTTCGTATTTCGCGGCTGCGGATGCGGAAGACACCGAGCGTAGACGAGGGTGAACGAGGGAAATAACGCGAATAAAGGCGACAGCGACAGGTAGAATCGATTGTATGCAACGCTATGGCAACCGTGGTGGCCCTGGCCAGTCAATAAGTTTAACAAACGCACGCTGAATCCAAACGTACGTCAATCCAAATTATTCGTACATTTGCATAAATCGCGTGGGAGAGGTACCTCAACCAAAACAATCGTTGAGCAAAAGGATGAGCAAAAATCACGTAGTTATCTTCTTCTTACATAGAAATAATAGTAAATTCTCTCTTTCGATGATTCAATCTAAACAAAAGAAAAAAAGAAAAAAAAAAGAATAATTTCTTCGAATATGTATTAATTTCATCTCGCGTGGAGTAATTTCACTGTTTCCATATACAACCCCTCCCCCCCCCCCCATCATTAAAAATTCCTTCTGAAAACGAGATCCTCGTGAAAACGTCAACGACGGGCTGGTGAACTGGTCTACAGGCACGTTGACACTGGCAAAAGCAGAAAGCAAAATATCAGCGAGAAGCTTCAGCTTTTTCAAAAGTGGAAAGTGCAGTTGACGAGAAGAACTTGCTGTTACGATATGCAGAATTATCTCATACATGTGAAAAATCATTCCATATGTGAAGAATAATTCCGTATATGTACACGCTGCATGTACGAAGTTTCGTGCAGATAAATGGTGCGTCTAAGCTCAGTGAGATACGTTTGATCTGACGCATACGAGGATGGACCTTTCGGGGCGACGATATACAAAGCGTTTGGAAAATCTGAAGGTCCTCTTCAGTGGCCTCTTTCCTTTCGTCCGCTGCCTCTCTCGTCTCCTTCGTCGTTGTTGCTTCTTCCTCGCTCGACATCTTCCCCCTTGCTCTCCAATCGCTCTTCCGCTTCAACACTGTACATTTACACCTGCGCGTTCGTTTCACGTTTTATGAAGATTTATGAAAGACTTGCTTCCTTCATTGACATGCTGTTGTGAGAAATCGTTTCAGGGGTGGCAAACGCCTGCGAACGCAACGTCCCCGAGGGTGTAAAAGCGTTTCCAGCGAAGACGAAGCGTCGATGCGCAACGAACCGCCGGTTTAGCATCTCCCTCGTCGCGCGCGCCGACCTCCAGACAATCGAATTTCATCGATCCGTGAAAATCACCCTCCGACTTTCTCAACTTCGTATCTTCGATACGATATCTCCGAACGATACATATGTACCTATCGCGAGATCATAGCTATTACAATGAAAAGAAAAAATTGGACGACGACCAAATATTTTTTTTTTTTTATTAGTATTAACGATATTTCATGATTGGAAATGTTCGTAAATTGTTTTCGTTACCAGTAATCATTTTCGACGAGAGAAATATTTTTCTATATTTTCTATATTTATAGGAAATTGTATATAATGTGTGTAATATGAAATATTCGAAGCAGTGCGTTTTATCGTATGTAAAACAATTTTATTATATCCTTAAAAATATGAATTTACATAAAAATTCGCAGCCTCGCTCGTGACAGTTATCTACGATGGAAAATCTATTTATAATTGTAATACTTTATCGATGAGAGAAAATTATTTCACTTTCTTTGTTAAGTTAAGTTCCGCGAAAATAATTTTTAAAATAGTTTTGTGTCGAATGCAAAACAATACTTTCCACTATACGCTGTTATGAGCCATCGAAGTGGAGTTTCCCTCATCGTATTAATTCTTCATTAAATTTGATTTTATTTGACTGATTGATTTCCGATTGATCGATTAACGTTAGTATCTGATTGAGCAATTAGTATGAACCACAACGATTATGTATTTAAATCATATTTCTTTCAATCGAATCATTTATAACGTAATATTCAGATAATATTTAATAACAAAAGACTGGCACCTCGTAAATTATCAACATGTATATCAGATAGATGACAATCGCTCAGAAAACAATTAATTCGAGTATTCTTCTTATCTTGTTGAGGATGTTAAATATTATCTCGCTGCATATTGCATACATTAATAAAAGATTATGAACATTATCAACGCTACATTTATTTGTTTGTTTAGTTATTTACATACACTCCCGTTTATAAGTTTTCGAATATCTAGCAAGTTCAGGTAAATTATTGCGTATTAATAATATATTCAATGCAAGACAGATTTTTACAATTCCATTCCCAGTAGCGAAAAATTTTTTTCAATTCTTCTTCCTCATTTAGTTGTATTTCAAAATGTTCATTATTTAATTGATTTAATTAATTGATGTTTAATGATATTTAATCATCATTATTATGTTTCCAATTTGTCTCTCTGTTGGTACAGTGGTAAGAAATGAAAATCTACAATGAAGTAAGATGATAAGAAAAGATAATAAGAAAAGATAAGACAAAATAACAAAAGAATACTTGAAATTATATAACATTCATAAGCATGATGTTAACAAATTGATAGAAAAATAATTGCAAATGAAATAGTGTGTTAAGGTAACATTAACCCTTAATGGACAATGAGTTGATTAATATTAAATTAATATTAGTCAAGAAATCAGAAAAAAATATATTATCAGAGAAAATATTTAGTGCAATAGAGTCTTTGTTATCCGTATGCTTTTATACGAATGTTCTACTATCCAAACATTTTGTTATCTGAACATATTTATTATTTACTGATAGATGACTTTTCTTCTATT